ATCTGTTAAGTGTTTTCTTCCAACATGGTCTCTTCTTTATACTTGAGTTTATGTGATTTCTTTGATAGTTAACTTTATATTTTATTAACATGTAATTAGGGATGTCCCGATCACCTTTTTTTGCTCCCGATCCGATTCCGATCATTTGATTTTGACAATCTGCCGATACCGATTTTTCCCGATCCGATCTTTATGCAATGCATTAAGAGAAAAAAAAGGAGAAAAGCATTCAAGTTGTCCCTTAAACCCCACGTTCTCCACCACAGATAACGGCTGGTCATCCAACGCGATGAATTCAGCTATCTTGGCTGTTCTTTTTTTGGCCTTTTCACTTTTCTGGGGCAGTTTCTCTTTCCTTTTAAAAGTCTCTGAAAGTGTCGGTTGTTTCAGTGCCGTTACCTGAGTGGCCGCTGTGTACTCGTCGTGTTGTTGTTGGTGTTTGTATTAGATTGGTCGTGTTGAACGTAGTTCTGTTCTTTCCACCACGCGGAACCTCCGCCTTGCAAACATTGCATCTGGCTGTTACACTGCCTTCGCTTTCAATTTTATAATACTTCCAAACTCCTGACATTTTCTCTGTCCCGAGTCACCAGCTGAACGTAGCCTCTCGTTAGCTTACTGCTACTATTAGACACTGCGCCCACTCTGTTGCCAGATTTGAGAGAAATAAGCAACCAGGTCTATGAAAACAAGCCCAAAAGAAGCAACACATACATGATGTTGTGTAATTTTAAACCAAAACTAAGGCCTCAGGATGACTTTAAGACGTGAACATGGTCATTTTTGTTTTGTAACATTAAATAAAATAAGAAAAATATTTTATTAAAAAAAAAAAAAAAAATCCGATCCCCGATTTTTTTCTCCCGATTCCGATCTTTTGAAAATCACGTGATCGACTCCGATCACGTGATCGGATCGGGACATCTCTACATGTAATAGTACAGTAATATAAATAATTATTGACAAAATGTACATAGCAGATGTTAGCCACATTGGTAAGTTAGCTACAAAGATAGCCATATTAGACAGTTATCATTGCCATTAATTGCCTCGTCAAACTACGAAAACGTTCGTTTGTCACAAAATAAATGACACTTGTTTGACTTAGATTTGAGGGCATGGGCTTGAGCATGATGTAATTATGTTATCTAGCACATTCGCTAACCTGTCTGTCTTTAAATTCTTTAAACAGCTCTGGATGCCGGTCGGCGAGGTGCTTAGCCAAGTTTGATGTGTTGGCTCCCTTGGTTTGCGGGGATCTAAAACATGTCTTACAGACAGGCCTTGTGGTGTCCGTAGGCTTGTCCTCACTGTCAGAGATATAGCTCAAATACTTCCACATTTCGCTTCTGGCGTCTTTTTTGTCAACAAGCCAAGGCGCAGCGGCAGTTGCACTCGCACTTGCAGCTTCTCGTTTTCTCACATGCTCTGGCAGCTAGCGCGTGCACGAGAGAGGGGAGGCACTTAGGCCCCGGCTCCACGGGAACGCATACGGCAAAACGCATCGGAGTAACGCAAACGCAAAAAAGCTTCCGCCCACACGCAATATACACCGGATTGTGTCAAGCTCCACGAGACGGCTCCGTTTACATCCAACCGCTGGAAAAGCTGCAGTACATATGCCGAGCCTGTACGTGGCGCTGTAACTTCCTCCACAAAAGCAGCAACTTCCTCCACAAAAGCAGCGAAGAAGAATGGTTGTCATGGCTGCACTTCTGTTTATTCTCCGCGGTGGGGGCCGAGGGATCCGGGCAGTGTTAAAGTTGAAATCTTCCGGACAAAATTATAAAAGTGCCGGTCAAAGGTCTTCTTTGTTATTTATTGAGCTTTAAAACAAATGAATAACGACGATATAATGATATATAATAATAAAATACACGGAGCCTGTCTCTTTTTCCTCTCTTCTGACAGCGTCAGTGTCTGTCTCATGCAGCAGCTGATCCTGTAATGAGTGACCCGACAGTAAAAATGAACATATTTATAACTAGTTTAGGTAGTTTGAGAGGTAATTAAAATAGCTAAGGGTGATGATCTGACTTGAAGTGTGTGTTTTGCTCCCGCTGCATCACAGCGGCAGGAGCTGCGTGTCTCCGTCCTGTCAGATTAGACTTCACTCGCGTTTATGTCCATATCGAGATAAAGATAAATAATCTGAATTCAGTGTGCAGTGTACTTTTGCGGGGGTGAGCAGCAGAGGTGGGGAGAGGTGGGGCTATTGCGTCGTCATTATCAGAAACGGATGACCGTATAGGCTACCACACGGCCCCGTTGGACCCCCCAGAGCGCTCCATTCCCAGATCTATCCACCTTTGGACCCGTTGTCGTTTGCAGGGTCTGTTTCTACGTTTCCGTTACGGCGTCATCTAGCTTAAAGGGCTATACGCATGAGAAATATGCGGATTCAACCCGTTTTCGTTCCCGTGGAGCCTAGGCCTTAGAGCGTGCTTGAGAGGGGAGGGGCTGCAGGCACGGCTGCAGTGCAGGGAGTGGAAGCAGAGCGCTGAACACACACGGCTGTTTATTAAAACAACGCTTTCTCACCGGAGTACTTTTCCCCGTCATTCTTAAAGTACCGATACTAATGAAACGGAGGAATCGTAACGTTTTTAACGGCAGGGTATCGCGGTACCTTTCAAGTATCGGTACACCGTGCAACACTAATGGGCGCAGGAGATCTGTGAGGGACTGAGGGGAAAGGGCATGGAGGGACTTGTAGGTGATGAGGAGGAGTTTATATGTGATGCAGGACCGGGAGCCAGTGGAGGTGACGGAGGGTAGGGGTGATGTGCTGCAAGGGCTTGGTGTGGGTGAGGACCCTAGCAGCAGAGTTCTGGACGTACTGGAGCCTGTCCAGGGTTTTGCTGGGAACCCCAGACAGGACTCAGTTGCAGCCGTCCAGTAGGGAGGTGATGACGTCAGAGAGTGATGGCCGGAGTCGGTTTTACAACTTATTTGACATGTTTCTGGAATGAAAGGGTGGAGTCTAAGATCACGCCCAGGTTGCGGACCTCAGAGGATGATGAGATGGTGGACCCGTCAACAGTGAGGAGCAGATCCCCAACCTTCCCGAGCAGTGCCTGGGGGCCACAACCATGAGCTCAGTTTGAGTGGATTTGCTGTCATCCATGTTTTTATTTCAAGGAGGAAGTTGACTAGTGACTAAGGGGGGGAGGTGGGCAGAAGGCTTTGTGCTGATGTAGAGTTGGGTGTCATTTCGTATGAGTGGAATCTGAGACCATGGCTGTGGATGATTTCACCAATCAGAAGTATGTATATTGCTAAGAGAAGGGGACCGAGCACCAAGCCTTGGGGGACACCATGGTTAACAGAGGCCTAGGAGGAGCTACAGCCAGCGTAGGTCACAAATTGTGTCCATTCAGAAAGGTATGAGTGGAAGAAGGAGAGGGCTGAGTCAGTGAGGCCAAGAGGTTCAGACAGGTGAGGAAGATATCATGGGAGGTGGTGTCGAGGCTGCAGAGAGGTCGAGGAGGATCAGTGTACTGATGTGACCTGAGTCAGCCGCGATGAGGTCATTGGTGATTTTGATGAGGGCGTTCTCTGTGCTGCGTTGTGTTCAGTAGGCAGATTGAAACTTCACGTCTTCAGGATTTTCTCTGAAAAGCTGTCCTTCACATAGAGAGCAGTCCACGGGCTGATATAGGGAACTCAGAAAGTCGGGAAGGTTTAAATGTTTAATGTTCTTTTCAATCTGTTCACACATCGGCAATACAAAGCAATCACTACCATTACATTGTTATATAAAGTGCCTTTAACCTGTTAAGCCCTGAGCCCGTTTTTCAGGTCTCAGGCTCGAAAATGACATTCCCAGAACAAATGACCATATCTTCCCTTCTAAAAGGGTTAAATTAATCATCTTTTTTCTCAAAGTAATGATAAACCTGTGAGTTGGATGTAGAAAAGTCAGAATCAATATAGATGTTTTTTATTTTAAAGAAAATTCAGATTTTACATAGTAAACAACTGTAAATTATAGTGTCCGTCCAAAAATTCTTCTTTACTTATAGTGAAAACTACCCTTGGATGATGGGTTAGTAGACTAAAAGCTTTAGGAATCCAAAGTACAACATATAATAAGTACCCTGTATCAAGATTGATGCAAAACAAGTGACATTTGACCTTTTTAGAGAGATTTAGCAAAAAGAAAACCACTTCTGGGGTCATTTTTTTTTTTTTCTTCATATCTCTGGCCCCCCTTGGTCGATTTTGATGGTTGACACCTCTTTCTGACCGTTAGAGCCAATAGAATCGAAGGGGGAGTCCCCCACACACACTCATTGTGAAAAGAAAAGGTGGGGGCTTCGAGCATGCAGTTTTGCATTAGAGTGAAGCTACAGTCTAGCTTTGACATCTGGAAACGGAAAAGCAGTTTTAATGCTTATGGATTATCAGAAATAATTTCAACGGGACACAGACACATTAGATTAACCTATCGATTAACTTCAGCAGCGTTTTTATCGTTTTAATGCCATTGAAGACCACTTTGGAGAGACTACAGAGCCAAGGTAAAAATGTTAGCATTTTTAGCTACCTAGCGTCACCTGTTTTGATGTCCGTTTTTGTTTATAACGTCGCAAATTCGTATAATTCAGTGATAATGAGGGTACCCATCGATTCTGTGTCACCTCACGATGTGAAACGATGTGTTGGATGTGGAGAAGAGATAAATAATAAGGTTTTGTGAGTGATTTTCGGTGCAGTCATCTGTTAGCATTTTTCGCTCGTTGCTAATTCAGAGGCTCAGTGTTAGCATTGTGGGTTTTCTTTAAAAAAAAAATGATCAGTGAGATGAGTTTCTTCCCGTTACATGGATATAAAACATTCATAGTTTATTAAATGAACATGGCCTCAGACACTTTTTCCTGCAAGATGTTGCGGCAGTGCCCCGGTACCGGGGTCTCTCGGGCTTAACAGGTTAAGAGATTTAACATATTTTCTATCAGTTTTTGTCCAGCTTGCAAAAGTATCTGTTTCTGTTTCAGGGTCCAGCAGCAGAGACCAGACTCTCCCAGCTGTCTGTCCTTCAAGAGCGACTGGTCGAAGGACAACTTCATAGACTTTAAAGGACAACCTCCATCTGCTGATCAGAGGTAAGCTCTAACTCATAGAAAGAGTCCGGTTATCATTGAATAAAACTAGTCCATATGAAGTCTTGTCCAACTTATGTTCTAGCAGTATTTCTCCAGCATGTTTTATGGCCACATAATCAGGAGAGAGGAAGTCGTTTTTTCTCAGCAAAAACTTAAATACTGTGAGTCTCCAGATATGTGGGTGGAGAAAAAAGCAATCGATCTGAGGATCCTGGATCAAGACTATGTTGTAGACGTCGTTTCAAATACTAATGTATAAGTAAAGATACACAACTGTCAAACCATTCTTAATCCTGTTGCAGATTTTAACTTCGTTACCCACTTCTGGTTTTAGTCAATCTCTGCATGTATATAAAGTATGATCTCTTATCTTACTAGATATTCTAACATCACTACAGACCATGAGTTAACTATGCCTTGCAGCTAGTAGCAGGGTATGAGTTGAACTTTTTAAACGTGTCACACATGCACATAATTCTGTTCTGTTTCAGGGTCCAGCAGCAGAGACCAGACTCTCCCAGCTGTCTGTCCTTCAAGAGCGACTTGTCGAAGGACAACTTCATAGACTTTAAAGGACGACCTCCATCTGCTGATCAGAGGTAAGCTCTAACTCATAGTAAGAGTCCGGTTATGATAGAATAAAACTAGTCCGTATGAAGTCCAAAGTGTTTAGTTGTGAACGTCCACACTGGGAGGGGCAGTGAAACTCCATCTGAAAACTCAGGCTGTTCAGAAGCTGTTCCACCATCTCACAAACACTTCTGATGGAGGAGACTGAGCCTTCATCAAAGTCACAACCAGCTCTATTGCCAGGTGAACCCTGACCCCTGCTATGGTGCTGGAGGTGGAGCTTGGGGGGGGGGGGGGTAACGGGGGCTGGTGTAAGAACTGTTCCTAGGTCTTTCCTTTTCTGATGAACAGCTGTTAGCCAGCTGCAGAGTCCAGTATCTATCCACACAGCCACGTTTCAGGAAGACCAGAATGAAGGATGGACAGAATCCTCTGGTCTTCAACAGTAGCTGGAAATAAATATTCCTGTAGTGCAAAGTTCCCGCTGAGGCACAGGACCACCAGCCTGTTCCCCTGTCCTCCTTTACCCTGAGTGTGTCTCTGTGTGGACAGACATAATGTGAGCTAATGCTTCATGGTTCCTCCACAGAGGGGACCAGGAGAGCTCGGAGGTTCCCGGTGGTCAGTCTGCCCAGCAGCATCAGACACAGCTGGACTCCATATTTACGGTGAGTACATGTTGTTAGAGCCACAATGAAGTCAACGTTATTATTTAGATTCATAATTTGATAAATGAATTAATGATGTAAAATGATTTATATTGCCATGGTGAATATCTTTTGATGAAATGATTGTTTATTTTAAATCGTAAATATGATCTGTTTCCTTGTACCTTCCGGTGTTTATTTAAGTGAGGTAATTGAGGACAGCCGCGGTGCTCTGAGACCTGATGAGACGGGGAGCGGAACAGTTTTTCGATCGCAAATTGTAAATGAAATTAGTGTTGCAAATTGGATTGCAAAGTATAGTTTATATAGGAAAGTATATCGCCGAAATTATTAGTTAGATTTGTTATTTTGAGACTATTTAAGTCAATACTTTTTTTGTTAATAAATTACATTTTTTGACTGAAAATCTTCGGCTGCTTATTGCTCTGGATTGCGTGTCGTCAACCCCGCTCTATAGTGGCATCAAAGGAAACCTTGGATGCAACTACACATGTACTACAGATACTTTACCTCTCTTCTGCTCACAGTCATCTCCATGCTGCACTTTTAGAGAGTCAGTCTGTCCGGATCTGATGTTTGGATCCATGGTTTATAGTTTGTGTCGTTCATGTGATGTTCCAGCTGCTGGAGGACCACATCGTCACCTTTGTGAAGAGCGAGCTGAAGAAGATCCAGAAGGCTCTGAGTTCAGATTACCCAGAATGCTTAGCAAGTCAGAGTGAGGATGAGGAGGTGTTGGAGGCTGAGGATGAAGAGCAGAGGAGGAGCAGAGAGGCATTTCTGAACATCACACTGCACTTCCTGAGGAGCATGAAGCAGGAGGAGCTGGCTGACCGTCTGCACCGCAGTAAGAGGGTTTCTATAAAGATTTAACACTCTGGATAAATGTCTCATCTGCTGATGTCTCAAGAGACCAACATATATCCATATTTTAATCAGAGAACCAGAGTTACAGTGTGACCAGATGATCTTTTTGTTGTGTGTTCTTTCAGAAACCTTTGCTGCAGTCTGTCAGCGTAAACTGAAGTCTAACCTGAAGGAGAAGTTCCAGTGTGTGTTTGAGGGCATTGCTAAAGCAGGAAACCCAACCCTTCTGAACCAGATCTACACAGAGCTCTACATCACAGAGGGGGGGTCTGCAGAGGTCAATGATGAACATGAGGTCAGACAGATTGAGACAGCATCCAGGAAACCAGACAGACCAGAAACAACCATCAGACAGGAAGACTTCTTTAAAGCCTCACCTGGAAGAGATGCACCAATCAGAGCAGTGATGACAAAGGGCGTGGCTGGCATTGGGAAAACAGTCTTAACACAGAAGTTCAGTCTGGACTGGGCTGAAGGCAAAGCCAACCAGGACATCCAGTTCATATTTCCATTCACCTTCAGAGAGCTGAATTTGGTGAGAGAGAACAAGTACAGCTTGGTGGAACTTGTTCATCACTTTTTCACTGAAACCAGAGACGCAGGAATCTGCAGGTTTGATCAGTTCCCGGTTGTGTTCATCTTTGACGGTCTGGATGAGTGTCGACTTCCTCTGGACTTCCACAACACTGAGACCCTGACTGATGTCAGAAAGTCCACCTCAGTGGATGTGCTGCTGACAAACCTCATCAGGGGGAAGCTGCTTCCCTCTGCTCGCCTCTGGATAACCACACGACCTGCAGCAGCCAATCAGATCCCTCCTGAGTGTGTGGACATGGTGACAGAGGTCCGAGGGTTTACTGACCCACAGAAGGAGGAGTACTTCAGGAAGAGATTCAGAGATCAGGAGCAGGCCGGCACCATCATCTCCCACATCAAGACCTCACGAAGCCTCCACATCATGTGCCACATCCCAGTCTTCTGCTGGATCTCTGCTTCAGTTCTGGAGGAGGTGTTGAAAACCAGAGAGGGAGGAGAGCTGCCCAAGAGCCTGACTGAGATGTACATCCACTTCCTGGTGATTCAATCCAAAGTGAAGAACATCAAGTATCATGGAGGAGCTGAGACAGATCTACTCTGGAGTCCAGTGAGCAGGAAGATGATGGAGGCTCTGGTAAAACTGGCTTTTGAGCAGCTGCAGAAAGGCAACCTGATCTTCTATGAGTCCGACCTGACAGAGTGTGGCATCGATATCAGAGCAGCCTCAGTGTACTCAGGAGTGTTCACACAGGTCTTTAGAGAGGAGAGAGGACTGTACCAGAAGGACAAGGTGTTCTGCTTCGTCCATCTGAGCGTTCAGGAGTTTCTGGCTGCTCTTCATGTCCATCTGACCTTCATCAACTCTGGGGTCAACCTGCTGGCAGAAGAACCAACAACCTCCCAGAAGTCTGAAGTCAAACCTGAACTAACACATCTCTACCAGAGCGCTGTGGACCAGGCCTTACAGAGTCCAAACGGACACCTGGACTTGTTCCTCCGCTTCCTCCTGGGTCTTTCACTGCAGACCAATCAGAAACTCCTACGAGGCCTGCTGACACAGACAGGAAGTAGCTCAGAGACCAATCAGGAAACAGTCCAGTACATCAAGAAGAGGATAGAAGAGGATCTGTCTGCAGAGAGAAGCATCAACCTGTTCCACTGTCTGAATGAACTGAATGATCGTTCTCTAGTGGAGGAGATCCAACAGTCCCTGAGTTCAGGAAGTCTCTCCACAGATAATATGTCTCCTGCTCAGTGGTCAGCTCTGGTCTTCATCTTACTGTCATCAGAAGAAGATCTGGACGTGTTTGACCTGAATAAATACTGTGCTTCAGAGGAGGCTCTTCTGAGGCTGCTTCCAGTGGTCAAAGCCTCCAACAAAGCTCTGTAAGTACAGAGATCATTTGATTTAGAGAATCAGTTATTAATACACTGCTGTCTCCTGAATAACTGTTGTCGTCATCGTCTCTTCAGGCTGAGTGGCTGCAACCTGTCAGAGAGAAGCTGTGAAGCTCTGTCCTCAGTCCTCAGCTCCCAGTCCTCTAGTCTGAGAGAGCTGGACCTGAGTAACAACGACCTGCAGGATTCAGGAGTGAAGCTGCTGTCTGCTGGACTGGAGAGTCCACACTGTGAACTGAAGACTCTCAGGTCAGTGCACAGTACAGTTTGACTTAGCCAGCAATAAAAGTCAATACCAACATCAGCCATGCTGTTGTGCTGTGGGAATACCATCATCGATTCAATTTTCAAGATTCAGAGATTTATTGTCATGTCATATACACAACTACGGTGTAGTTATGCAATGAATGAAAAACGTAGGTCAGCGGTTCCTCAACAGTGCAATTACAAGACATACATTTTTATAAAAATAAAATAATAATTAAATAGTCTGAAAAAATGTATAATAACAGTGGAAGCTCAGGTGCTTAACTCTCTCTTAACATTGTCGTTGAAACGAGACCAGAGGTGATGCCAGCGGACTGTTCAAGCCGTGACAACAGGATGCTATGGTCCACAGTGTCAAAGGCAGCAGTCAGATCTAACAGCACCAAGACAGCTGGGCTACCTGAGTCGGCGGCCAGGAGCAGATCATTAAAAACTCTTGAAAGGACTGTTTCAGTGCTATGCATGGGTTTGAAGCCAGACTGAAACTTTTCATGGATTCCATGCGTGGTTAAGAAAGACTGCAGCTGGGTGTAGACTACTCGCTCCAGGGCTTTAGATAAAAAAGGTAGCTGGGAGATGGGCCTAACATTTGCGAGAATGGAGGGATCGAGATTTTTCTTTTTAAGTAGTGGCTTAACCACGGCATGTTTGAAGGCGGCTGGGACACATCCTGAGCTAAGAGAGGTGTTTATAAGTAATAAAACACTCGCTCCAACTGATTCAAAAACATCTCTAAGAAAGCGAGAGGGAATGCTGTCTGAGGTGCAGTTTGTCGGCCGCAGGTGCTTGACTACATTCGAGAGAGAAGAGAGGGATACAGGCTCAAAGTGGTCGAGGACAGCAGGGCACAGAAAAGGAGCAGGATCTGGGTTAGCACTAGTGTGGGCTAGCCTAAGAGCAGATACTTTTTCAATAAAAAATGTAAGAAACTTATCACAGAGAGTAGTCGATGGGACAATAGAAGAAACATCACAGGGATTAATGATAGAGTTGAGGACATTAAAAATAACCTGATGTTTATGGCTGTTTTTGGAGATTAACAGAGAAATGTGCTCTGTTTTGGCTGCTTTGACTGCCGTCTGGTAGTCAGAAAGGCAAGCACGAAGGATTTCTAGGGAGACATGGAGTTTATCCTTTTTCCATTTTCTCTCTGCACGCCTGCAAGCGCGTCTGAGAGCACGAGTACAGTCATTAAGCTACGGCTCTGAAAGTGCTTTGGTGCGTCTAAGCGTAAAAGGAGCAACAGAATCCAGTGTTAGGGTACATGTCGAGTCAAACATGGAGATAAGCTCATCAGCATTAAAAGCACAGTTCACATCTAATTTACAGATCGGAGAAGCATTAAAAGCATCAGAAAACTGTGAGGCAGTCAAGGGGTTAATCGAACGCAGACGACGCGCAGGGGCACGTGATTCGACTCCTGCGGAAGGGATGGAGGTTGTAAACAGAACTGGTAAATGGTCTGAGATACGCGTTGCTGCACATATTTCATCCACAGAGACAGACAGTCCAAACGATAATACTATATCTAAGGTATGTCCTTTTTCGTGTGTTGGGCCAGCCACGGACTGAATAAGACCGAAAGAGTCGAGGAGATTTAAAAAGTCCCTAACCAGAGGTTTGGACTCGCAGCACACATGGACATTAAAATCTCCACAAATCAAAACACGATCATATTTCACCATGATCCCGGACAGAAAGTCCGAAAAGTCTGTAATGAAATCCTTATTGCACTTTGGCGGACGATACACGACTGCGCAGAGTATAGGCGAGGCCGGGTTCAGTTCAAAAAGCAGAGGCCGCAGCTCCGGAAAGACAGGGCGAATCCACCGAACCCTCAGATGGCGTGCAGCGGGAGGGCCATGACATCTGATGCGTGGATAAGTCACAGAAGAAGCCGTCAGGTATGCTTTTTGATGGACCAGTGCACCACCACGCTTTCCCCGTCGTCTAAAGCGCTTTCGGCGAGGCAGGATGCAGGGCAACCGGCACAGGTAGGTGGGAATATCCTACAGTAGAGGGGGGGGAGTCGATTTACGGTTGCCAGATGTAGGTTTGGGCAGCAGTATAAACTCCAGTGAGGGTCTGAGGTGGAGGAGAGCTTGGCGATCATAGACGAGCAGAGCAGAGACTGACAAACATTCTGACAAACAGAACAAACACAGGATAGCTAAAGGCAGAGAGCTGAGGGAGCGGCATGCAGACACAGGCGCCATCTTGAAATCCACCACAATAGTACAATAGTATTTGACTTGTGAAGCAGTGACTGGAGTTGTAGGTGTAGAGATGACCCAGAGGTGATGCAGTAATAAGCCCCGCCCCCCTTCCAGTCCTGGACCCTCAGATGATCTGACGGCTTGTTTGTGTGTCTGCAGGCTGTCAGGCTGTCTGATCACAGAGGAAGGCTGTGATGCTCTGGCCTCAGCTTTAAACCCCTCCCATCTGAGAGAGCTGGACCTGAGCTACAATCATCCAGGAGACTCAGGGGGGAGGCTGCTGTCTGCTGGACTGGACACGCTCAGGTATGGCCACTAATGGCCTAAACCAGGGGTTCCCAACCTTTTTTCCCAAGAGCCCCCCCACAAATGACTCCGGTTGGAAGTTGCGCCCCCCCCCCCCCCCACACACACACACACAAGGGGGGTAGCATTTTGTAAAAGGAGGATGAAAGCGTAATTAAGGAGCACTATTGGAGTGACTTTGATGGTTATTGGACTCAGGATTCATTTGGATTCCCGCTGTATGAAGAAATTAAAGGACGGCGCAAGTGGAAACAATTCACAAAGGGATTAAACTGTTTAAAACACATGCTCAAAGTAAGCCGGATTTTGCCGATGTGTTTATGTGGATTCAAAAGTCGTAAATAATCTACAAAATGGAGGAGACCGATCTGATCGGAGCAACTGTGACAAATAATCCAACTGAATAAAATAAAATAAAATAAAATAAATCATCTGAGGCCTGGCACACCCCCTGCGATCTTTGGCGCGCCCCCCTTGGGGTTGGGAACCACTGGCCTAAACAATGCCTGCAAAAAGAAAAATACACTATACAGACAATTCATAAACTATAGAACTTCAGAAGCAGAAAATAAATATAAAAGATATAAGAATAAATGAACCAATATTATGAGAATATGTAAGAAAGAATACTATAATAAAATACTAGAGAATTATCAGAATAATATGAAAGGTTTATGGAAGGTATTAAATAGTATCGTTAGAAATGGAGCAAAGAGTACAGGTTACCCTGAGTTTCTTGTTGACAAAGATAATGTTATCAATAACACAGAAGATGTGGTTCATGGTTTGAACCAATTCTTTGTAAATGTGGGGCCAGATCTGGCAGAAAGAATGACAAGCATAGAAACAACTAAAGGGGAAGATACAGACCTCTGGAATGAAAACAATAGCTCTTTCTTCCTCAGAGCAGTCGAAGGAAAATAAATCATAGACACTGTACGGAAATGTAAAAGCAAGTACTCGAGCGATTGGAATAATATTGATATGATTATAGTCAAACACATTATTGAAGAAATTGCAGAACCATGAACACATCTTTGTAACTTGTCTTTTCAATCTGGTACATTCCCTAATGAAATGAAAATAGCTAAAGTTATACCATGATATCAAACTGGGGATGAACACCATGACACACATCACATGTTTCTTTGCTCTCCCACTTTCATCCTTGAAAAGGGTTTTACAAAAAGACTTGACAGTTTCATGGAAACACATCAGCTGTTGGACGACAGTCGATATGGATTCAGGAAAGACAGATCAACATGTACGGCACTAATGGGATTAAGTGAGGAAATAGCAAACTGCTTGGACAATAAAAAATAAGCAGTGGGAATATTGATAGAGCTACAGAAAGCATGTGACACCATAGATCACAACATGTTACTGACACCACTGGAAAGGTATGGCATCAGAGGATTAGACTGGTTTAGAGATTATTGAAGCCACAGACAACACTTTGTTAAATAGGTGAACATAAATCAGAAGACATGAACATAACTTGTGGAGTACCTCAGGGGTCTGTGTTGGGTCCAAAGCTGTTCATCATATACATCAACCATATTTGCAGAGTATCAAATATATTGACATGTATTTTATTTGCAGATGATACTAATATGTTTTGTTCTGGTGACAGTTTGAAACAGCTAATAGAGGTAATAACAGCAGACATGATTAAAGTCAAACATTGGTTTGATAAGAACAAATGATCATTAAATATAAGCAGAACAAAGATTATGCTCTTTGGAAAACATCAACCAAATCCTCAGGTTAATCCTAGACAACATAAACATAGAAAGAGTATGTAAACAAGTTCCTTGGTGTTAGAGCACAACATCAGCTGGAAACCTCATATCCATCATGTCAAAGCTAAACTGGCTGAGACTATCGCACTATTGGGGAAAGCAAGACACACTCTGGAGTACACATCATGATATACTCTGTGATACACTCATATCACATCATGATATACTCTGTGTGATACACTCATATCACATCATGATATACTCTGTGTGATACACTCATATCACATCATGATATACTCTGTGTGATACACTCATATCACATCATGATATACTCTGTGTGATACACTCATATCACATCATGATATACTCTGTGTGATACACTCATATCACATCATGATATACTCTGTGTGATACACTCATATCACATCATGATATACTCTGTGTGATACACTCATATCACATCATGATATACTCTGTGTGATACACTCATATCACATCATGATATACTCTGTGTGATACACTCATATCACATCATGATATACTCTGTGTGATACACTCGTATCACATCATGATATACTCTCTGTGATACACTCATATCACATCATGATATACTCTGTGTGATACACTCATATCTCCATGTCTGAGTTACTGTGTGGAGATCTGGGGAAACACAAAACCAACCTGCAGCCGTTATGCACATTACAAAAAAGGGCTATAAGAATAATCAATAATGTTGGATATCTTGAACACACTCATTCATTATTCTTGAAGTCACACACACTGAAGTTTACTGATCTGGTTACATTTCAAACTGCATCATGTACAGAGCAAGACATCATCTACTTCCTAGGACACTACAGACGTTGTTCATAGACAGAGAGGGGGGGTATCATCTGAGAGGAGATCTACATCTGAAACAACTCAAGGTCAGAAGAACTCTGAGAAGAGCAGAACAATCTGTGTGGGGGGGGGGGGGGGGGGGGGGGGGGGGTTTCATGGAGCGGTTTGGAGCAGGAGTTCAAACAAAGCACACATAGCATTCACTTTGAAGGATGCACAGAAACACTTCTTTGGGAAAGTATGAGAATGAAGAAAGGAGATTGAAGTGGAGAAATGATTGTGAATGTATAAATGTAAATATGTAAGTAGGAATAACTTGCAGACATGATTTAAAGGACAATCATTGATCAGCTGTAAGTAATTGGGGGCAGTCTGTGGACATATAAGATAATTTAGACTAACTGACCGCCCCCCCCCTCCTCCTCTGCTTTCAGCCTGGAGCCTGCTGCAGCCCGGTTCTTGAGGCCAGGTCTCAGGAAGTGTAAGTGTGTTTTTCATCATGAACATCTTCACACTGAGACATCACAGGGACTTTAATAACCTTTAATACCTGCTGTGTCTCTCATCAGATTTCTGTGGACTCACACTGGACTCAAACACAGTGAACAGAAACCTCAAACTGTCTGAGGACAACAGGAAGGTGACACGTGTGAGAGAGGGGCAGAAATATCCTGATCATCCAGAGAGGTTTGACTCCTTCTGTTATCAGCTGATGTGCAGAGAAGCTCTGACTGGTCGCTGTTACTGGGAGGTCGAGTGGAGAGGAGTGGTTACTATATCAGTGACTTCCAGAGGAATCAGGAGGAGAGGAAAGAGAGAGGACTGTGTGTTTGGAAGGAATGATCAGTCCTGGAGTCTGGAGTGCTCTGGTTACTCTGTCTGTCACAATAACAGAGAAACAAACATCTCCTCCTCCTCCTCCTCCTCCTCCTCCTCCCCCCCCTCCTATGGTAGAGTAGCAGTGTATCTGGATCATCCTGCTGGCTCTCTCTCCTTCTACAGAGTCTCCTCTAGAGGCACACTGACCCACCTCCACACCTTCAGAACCACATTCACTGAAACTCTCTATGCTGGGTTTGGGTTCTGGTTTGGGTTAGGGTTAGGTTCCTCTTCAGTGTCTCTGTGTCCCCCCCCCCCCCCCGCTGAGCACATAGATCAGTGTGTTCAGGATCACTCACAGCTGACTCTCAGGTCTTCTGGGTCTGCTTTCTGTCTCCAGAATCAGAACTCTCAGGTCTTCTGGTCTGCTTCCTGTCCCCAGAACCAGAACTCTCAGGTCTTCTGGGTCTGCTTTCTGTCTCCAGAATCAGAACTCTCAGGTCTTCTGGTCTGCTTTCTGTCCCCAGAACCAGAACTCTCAGGTCTTCTGGTCTGCTTTCTGTCCCCAGAACCAGAACTGTCAGGTCTTCTGGTCTGCTTTCTGTCCCCAGAACCAGAACTCTCAGGTCTTCTGGGTCTGCTTTCTGTCTCCAGAACCAGAACTCTCAGGTCTTCTGGGTCTGCTTTCTGTCCCCAGAACCAGAACTGTCAGGTCTTCTGGTCTGCTTTCTGTCCCCAGAACCAGAACTCTCAGGTCTTCTGGGTCTGCTTTCTGTCTCCAGAACCAGAACTCTCAGGTCTTCTGGTCTGCTTTCTGTCCCCAGAACCAGAACTCTCAGGTCTTCTGGGTCTGCTTTCTGTCCCCAGAACCAGAACTCTCAGGTCTTCTGGGTCTGCTTTCTGTCCCCAGAACCAGAACTCTCAGGTCTTCTGGGTCTGCTTTCTGTCTCCAGAACCAGAACTAAACCTGGAGAAGTCCAGTTGTTACTCTCCAAACATCTGGACCAAACTCCCAGAAACCTGCAGGTCTTGTTTCATGTTTCTTTGATTCTCTTCTCTTTGTAATGACTAGTTTGAAAAGCCATTTGATAACGTGTTTCCGCTGCACTGGTTCTGAATGCTCTGAATGTCTTTCATTTGTTTAAAGCTCTTTGAATAGCCTTGTGTTGAAAGCTGCTGTATAAATAAACCTGCCTTGCCTTTGCAATGTTGAGTTGGTTTTCATTTTAAATATCCATATTTCTTAGATGAATGATAGTAAAAAGGTATTTCTTGACATTTGATAGACTGCATTATTAACATATTAAAAACATATTAGGATTTGTAGTTGCAGATTGAATTCTGTTTAAACCAGTCGGTAATGTGCAGTTTCCTCCACTAGATGGCACTCTTTACCTTCTCCGTAATACTCTGTACAATGCACTGATCCGTACATCAGTTACTTTCACTTATTTACACTACAGTATATGTAATGACAATATATTCTATATTCTAATGTTCAGTGTTACATTCTGTTTGACCTTATTCTATGTTACACGTTTAAAGGTGACTTAGTCCTGCTTCTTACTTACAGCATTACGTCTTCTTTTATCCTTTTATACTTAAGTGTCCCTATCCTGCTCCTGTTAAGATTTACATAAGTACATTTCGGACTAAAATAAAAAATAAAGACTAAATTGTATAAAACTCTAGAAAGATCAAACATTATGAGCAGTGAATGTGAGGTCTGCAGAACCGCCTCTGCCCACTGTGAGGCGCCTGCAGTACCGCCTCTGCCCACTGTGAGGCGCCATGTGTCCGCAGAACAAAGAGTCACACAGGTCCCTGAGATGGAAAGAACATGTTGAGGTTTGATTTCTAAAGTATTCCCCCTTTAAAAGGCAGTATTTACCCTGCTGTGTTTCTCTGTGTTTTAATGCTTGGATTATTTATTGTTTGTTTCAAATGTTACTAAATGTTGTGAAGCCTTGCAGGGATTTAAAGGAAGCTCAGCATTAATGACAGGAAGCAAACCACCGGGAACACTTAGTAAAGAAACACTAAGTTACACGTGTTTTTATTTACAGATAGAAACCCACCGGCTGCACACGGATACCTCACATGTGGAAATGTCAAGTAAACGTGAAATAAAGCAGATTCACTGGAAGCGTTCAAACACACCTGCTCCAGGAATACTATCACGTAAAGAGAGAGCCTTCCAGAAGACTTTCTGCTCTTGGGTCTTGGACATCAGAAACATCCTGAATCCACTTTGTAAAGGTCTTTTTAAGGACACTTAAAGTATACGTTTAGTCAGAATGAAACATCCAGGAAAGGTTAAGGGTTCTGAGATTATTAAGGGGTTTTGGGGGGACCTGGGGGGATTTAAGGAGGACATTTAAGATGTTCTGATACATCTGTAAGGGGTTATAGGGAAGATGTAAGGTGTTCTGATGCATCTTTAAGGGGTTATAGGGAAGACTTAAGGTGTTTTGATAAACCTTTAAGATGTTTCAGGGAAGATTTAGGGTTTCTATGTGATCTTTAAGGGGTAATAGGGAAAATGTCAGGTGTACAAATACATTTTTAAGGGGTTTCAGGAAATATTTAATGAGTTCTGATATTTTGAAGGTGTTATGGGGGACCTGGGGGACCTAGGGGGGATTTAAACAGTTCTTATTATTGTTAAAGATATTTTTGTGTATCTAGAGAATATTGAATGTGATATTTTTAAGGGCTATCAGGGATGAGATTTAAGGTGTTCTTATTAAAGGGTTTTCAAGGAATCCAGATGTTCTCTGATGCATCTCGGCTTTAAATTATGTTCCAGGAGATTTGCAAAAGTTTCTAAGGGAAAATCTTGTGATTTTAAGGGGAATCAGAGGTTCTGAGTGATATAAAGATACTTTAAGGGATCATTTAAGGGTTTTAAGTTTTTAACACAGGCTTTATGGAAGCTCCATGAGAGATAAGGGGTTTTCAGGAGAGGTTCCAGATGTTGTTAAGGGGTTTCAAGGAGCACACCATAATCTCTTATATTAAAGTGTTCTCTTAAGGGGGATTTTAAGGGGTTTTATTTGAACACGTCTCCACTGTGAGAGCACTATCAGGTGTTTTCATACGAAGAGGAAGGATCACCAAAATAAAATGTGTATTATCATTTGTTTTAAATAATGCATTAGATTTAAAGAATGAAAATATCTTCTAATGTAATTGATATTTGAGATAAACCTGAATGCAAACATCTTAGTGAGTTCACTCTGGCCTCAATGTGTGCTTTAGACTCACATCTCACCGTAAAGAAAGACTCTTCAAGCACTGAACCTTGAACTGAACGCTCTGTGTTTACCAGAAGCCTTTCCACTGAACACACTGAAGAACAATGTTCATCATATTTGTAATAATAACTGCAGCCTGTTGCCGTGTGCTTTCTTCCTCCTCCTCCTCCTCTTCCTCCTCTCCAACATCTCATTGACTTCTTCTCTCCGCGCACTGGAATCTGTTCCAGCTTTCCAGACGTTTCTGTGTCCCTGGAGGAAGGGTTAGGGCTAAAGCAGGATACATATTTAATCAGGCTGCTCTGGAGTTTGTGCTTAATGAGAGGAATTCTGCTCCTGCCACGAACATGAACAAAAATGACTGCCGGAGATTCAAGAAATAAAAAACACCCCAAAAAAAGAACCATCAGGAGGGATGACAGAAACTCTGTGTTATTGTGTGTGTGTGTGTGTGTGTGTGTGTGTGTGTGTGTGTGTGTGTGTGTGTGTGTGTGTGTGTGTGTGTGTGTGTGTGTGTGTGTGTGTGTGTGTGTGTGTGTGTGTGTGTGTGTGTGTGTGTGTGTGTGTGTGTGTGTGTGTGTGTGTGTGTGTGTGTGTGTGTGTGTGTGTGTGTGTGTGTGTGTGTGTACGCGCCGCTTGTGTCAGTTAGCCCGGGATGACAGGGGAGATTATTCCACATGAAACCAGTTAATCCCCAAATCTGTAGGAAGTGTGTGAAGGAAGGAGGAAGGAATACAGATTCAGAGTTTCACAGTGAAATCAATCTGAGAGCTTTGGATAAAACAGGTTTAATGACGGGTTCTCTGCACCATGACAGAAGTCCACATGTCACCCTGTGTAATGAAATGTTTAAAAATCACTTTTCCTCTCATTAACTTCTTTTTTACATCCCAACACGCGGAAACCCTTATTTGGAGAACAGCGATGACGCAACGCGCTGTTTCCACCAATCACACGCTGGAGGTGCGACCGATATGCAAACAACATGTCCTTTTTTGGGCATGACCACGCCCCTTATTCTGCTCCTGGTCCCGGGGGAACCTCGGAGCTCCGGACCCCGGGAGAAGGAGCTCTCCGCCGGGACAGAGGGAGCCATAGAGAGCCGGGGAGGGAGGGGGGATGAGGTTTCTCTCCCCCCCCCCGTTCAGCCTCCCGTCCCTCCCTCTTGTTTGATCATCATTTCATTTGACTCCCTTTCTGAAGCGCTGCCTTGTTTTCTTTATCCCACTTTTCATTCCTCCTGCTCGGCTGCTCTCTGCCTCTGATCCTCTGCTCTGGATCGGGACCCGGTACTTTGGGAGTCCTCCTCGTCCTCCACCGGCTCTCCTCTCTCGCTCTCCCGGCGCCAGGCTCTCCTCTCCCGGCTGACCCTCGCCTCTCCTCCCCTGGAGACCCCCCTCTCTTCTCCTCCTCTCACTCCAGCTTTAAAGGACTGCTCTGAACACTGGGATCTAAAACACCACCCGGAGAAACCCACAGGGATCCCGGGCTCTTCTTTGGATCAGGACCCGGTACTTTGGGAGTCCTCCTCCCCTCCTCTTCCTCCTCCTCCTCCTCCTCCTTTCTGCAGCGCCTTAATCCAGGTGGTCCTTTTGGCTTTTTTGAGTGTCTGGTACAGCAGGGAGGATTATTCTTCTTCTTCTTCTTTCTTCTTGTTTCTGGTGAAGACTCCCAGAAGGTTTTTGATGTTCTCCATCCAGGACAGCCTCCCCCGGGGGGCCCTGACCATGAAGGAGGAGCCGCTCCCCACCGGCATGACCCCGGTCCGGTCCTGGATGCAGGGCGCGGGGATCCTGGACGCCAACACAGCGGCGCAGAG